CGAAGGCTAACGGTGTGCTCTTGTAGTCAGCAAGAACCCTGCCGCGTCTTACACGCGTTTAAGTTTGCAATGACGAGATTATCTCTTTACTTTTGTCCCTCCGAGCCTAAAAATCTAAGATATCATGCACTTGAAAGTAAGCTGATTTCAGAAAGGGTAGTAAGTTCACGTTCTTCTGAATTCCTATCTGAAAAATTAAAGGCACGTTTGGTTGGTTTTTTTTGTTTGTCTGCATTTTCTGTATGTGTGCATAACACTTCGTTTCCTCTTTCTGCTCCTCTTTTCATGAAAAATCTCCGCCAAACAAACGACCTGATTAGGGTTCTGCAGGACGCTTCTATAAACACCCCTTATCCTTTCCAGAAACAAGCCCGGTTGCGTGGTTCTTTTGGTAGCAGGTATAGATAGGTTAGGCAACAACGGCACTAAGGAAGCGGTCTGGCTTAGAAAGCTTGGCCAAAAAGGACCGGGATTATGCCAGTCGCTCTCCTGCTCTTCCCGGCACCCAGTCGTGCCCGCACCCCTAACTAAGGTGATGGGAGCGGGCATTGCTGTCAGCAGAAAGGTACGCGTGATCACCCTGAGGTGTTTGGTTTGTGTACTTCTGTCTGCTTATGTTGCAGGAAGTAGAGACTGCTATAAGGAAATGATACATCCCTAACACAAATGACATAATCGTTAGTATGTTTCATTTCTCTCTTGCTGTGAATGTTTTCATATGTTGATATGAAGTATTGGTTGATACTGACCAATCTGTTTTGGAGAGACAACATGGAAATAGGATGCTTCTAGACCTGTGCTGATACAATACCTTATATAGTATTCTGTACCTTGATAATTTATAGTTCAGGCATAAGAGAATAAAAGTTTGAAAGGCCTCTTCTCTGAAATGCTCTTTTGGGAATTGTATTCTAAAGAACTAATGCTATTACTCAAAGTACTTGAGAAATCAGAGTGGGGTTTTTTTTTGTCTTAAAAACTGAAGCATTATTCTAAGGCCATGAAAAATACAATTTCTAAGGCCTGGAATTAATTTTAATTTGTCTTTTTCTTTTCACTAAGAAAAGTTGTGATTTATAAAAGTGCGTCTTTAGACTGCAGCGTTTTATGATACTGTAGTTAGAAAATAGTACTTTTTTCTCATAATCTTCTTTCTTGCAAACAGTAAGTTGTGATAGAGCCTGTCTGAACTTCTCTTCGGGTATTATTTGATCAGACTTGGAACTAAAAATTTGCGAGCAATGCTTTTGGAGGGTAAGGAGGAAGCACTTGTAGAACAAATTATCTCATTGTACAGGAAGTATTGAGAAAAGGACTTAGAATTGAATTTCTTTCACAACCAACCACTTTGTGACGATGCTATAATGTGATAGGGCTGATTTTTTACTTATAGAAAGGGTATCGCTCCATTGTCCTCTGTCACGCTTTCTCTGTGCCGTCGGGGTCAGTCAGTCCAAGGGAAATCACTCATATCATTAAACCCAGGCTTACTGATGTCTTGGGGGCAGTTGATGTTCTTGAAGCTTCTGGGGTTTTTATGCTTGTCACTTTGGCAAACCCCTGCTAGATGATTTGTACAACAGTTCAACAGAGGAGTCACTTGTTCTTTTTGTGGGCTGAGGGCAAAACACCACTACTCAAATATATGATTGTGGAGAGATGAAAGACGGGCAAATTTTTGACCTTTTCAGTAAAAAAGGAGGAGAAAAAAAAATAATCCCGCTTTCTCGAGGTTTGAAGGTTTGAGTCAAAGGATGAAGTGGAGAAACCGTAAGAATTCAGTGCTGTCCATCTTGAGTGTTCTTTTTTCCCCTTGAAATGTTCATTAGTTGGTCAAGGGAACAGTCCTTCAGATTGACTAATTAAGGGCAGGATGCTGTGTTCACTCCGATACAAAGTGAACAATAGCAGTCTGCTGAATGAAGTAGTTTAGTTTTAATTACATTCTCTCTTGGCATTGCCATCTAGGGTTGGTCTTTCTGAGCTCAGGTACTTTTCATCTGGAGGAAAAATCCTGGATTGGGGAGAGCAGAAGGAAATTAAAAATGTATGGAGAGTCATGAGAAGGCAATCTCTTCTCCCAGAGAACTTGTAGAGATAGATCTTCCTCTCATAAAAGAATATGGTGGTAGCTACCTGATAAGAATGACATGGAGTACTAATTGTGGAAAACAAAGGTGTGATTTCTGGGGGAGAGAAATATGTTTCCGCTTTTCTGTGTCAGAGAGTTTGTCCCATGATTCAGCTAATACCCTTTCCCCCTGCCTGTTAGTCCATTTAGTTTCAGAAGATTCCCTTGCCTTCCTGTCTTCGTGTGCCCTTCCCCCAGTGTTTCTTCTGATGACAATGGCATAGATAAGCATCTTGTAAAGCTCTGCATCTTAACTTTCTGGGGTTTCTCTTGGAGATGCTAATTTATACCTTTTTACTTCTTTGATATCTCGATCTAACAGCCAGTGTCAGATGAATGCAGATGGATTAATGCTTTTTTACTCTTTGGGCGAGCCTTGATCTGAGTTTTAAAGAGTAATTTGCAAACTTCTAAATGCACAGCCTTGACTAATTCAACAGAAGTTACTTTTAAAAGCATGTGTGGAGTTCATAAGCAGAGCAAGGAGAAGTTACTGTTTTCACATTGGAAATGGACTCGACCTCTGCAAATTAGGCATGATGGTTTTGTAGCTGTCTGAATCTCTTGTTCATAGTGAAAAACTGTACCTTTGTGCAAATGGCACATGGAGGCGTCCCAACTAATACTGGGGAAACTGCTGAATGTGGCCAGGTGGGGTTTTTTTTCCTCCCAAATTCTGCAGGCTGCAAATAAACTTAAGCTTCATTTGGCTCCAAATCTGTAAATTGGAGTCGAGATACCTTTGAGCCCTCGAGTGCCTTGTGCCACTGCACTGGAGCTGTGTGTGTTGCAGAGCTCTGTTTACATATGCAAGTGAATGCAGCCCTCAGTTACTTTGATCTTACAGCACTTCATAGGTACATGTGAGTCTATCCACTCATGAATCATAGATGTATAATGATTGGAAGGGAGAGGTTGTGTGTGTGTGTGTGAGGCAATTCTAGTTATCCTGTAGAAGAACCCTTAATTGTATTGAAAGCATTAACTCTGAAGCATCTATAAATACTTGGCATCTCTTTGTGTTGGCCAGGCTCGCACTTCTTGGGACAGGGAGTCAAGTGAAATGCGCTATAAGAGGCTTCAACATTTGCTTGAAAAAAGCAACATCTATTCCAAATTCCTGCTAACCAAAATGGAACAGCAGCAACTAGAGGTAGGTGTATTTTTGTCTGCAGTGGAGATTCTTAAGATGGGCTGCCATGTGTTGGTGTGGGGTTTTGTTGTTGTGGGTTTTTTTGTTTTGTTTTTTTTTTATTCCATCCCACTGTTTGAACTGAAGTAAAAATGCTGTTTAAAATTGTAATAATAACATGAAAATCTACTGGAACTACTGCCTGGGAATGGAGTAGTGCTTTACATAACATTCAGAATTTCTTCTATAAGTTTATAGAGAAATCAAATGGGAAGAGCATGAATTATAATTTAAAATCACAGTGTAAAGGTGGCACTGATATCTTTACAATTCTTCCGTTGGCTTGAGCACTAGAAAGAGAAGAATAAATATTTGAAGCAAGAAACGAAGTTTAAGGGATCTAGAAGACCTTGAGGGAGGATAGAAGATACGAAGAATTGACAAGTAGGAAGTTGTGCAGCATCTTTGTGTTAATTACTGAAGGCTGAGGATCAGGCTTGTCTTTAGCATGCTAATGTAGGCCTCCCTCAAACAAATTTATAAATCACAGTGAGTTGAGGCCATGCTGTTCCCAAACAAGAGCTTCCATAAGATGATTGGACTTGTTTTCTTTTTTTTAATCCATGAGCTGCTGAGTTCATATGTAGCTTTATCTTGACTTTCTTAACTGTACCTTTATGGACAAGCTTGTAAGAGTTTACGCTTGAGAGGGAGGAAGAAACTTAAGAAAAGATTTAGGGCAACAGCTTTCTCAGAAAAGTAACACTGACAGACTGCAGGAACCTCCTTTGTAAAATACTTTTGTAGTTTAACTGTCAGCTCAAATTCATGGTTACTGCATTGATAGAATGTGTTTCAGTACTAAGTCATGCTCCATCTGTTAAATCCCAAGGTCTCTTATCTCATTTCCCAGGGGCCTTTTGCTTTCAGCAAGTAGAGCTAGTAGGTGGAGTGAAAATCTTAAATTCTTCAAGACTTGAAAATGCTTCTTCATTAAAGGCATTGTAGGCTACTTACATTGCTTTGTTCTGCAATGAACATAAGTGGTAATATGTGGAGGTTTAAGGGGAGCAGCATACATGAAGAACTTTCTGCAATAGGTGTGATCTTAAGGAGTTTGTGATTTGGAATATTCTTGTTGGAGTCTTTCTAAATTGCTGTGTTTAAATGTTTAAACTAGTCACTGACAAGCAATTCAGAGCAGTTGCATTTTCTTGTCCAAGTTTTGCTTTATCATTTTAAACTATGTCAGAATAGAGGCTTTTAGTGAGATAGTAAAAACATAGTTTATGGAGTACACAGAACTCTACCAATGTAATCTATGCCTGTTATTACTTCTCTAATGGATAGTTCTCTTGTGAGTGTTACTGAAAGATAAGAAATGTGTGTGGTTGGTTTGTTTGTTTGTTTGGTTTTTTTTTTAGGAACAGAGGAGGAAAGAGAAGTTAGAAAAAAAGAGAGAGATGATGTTAAAATCTGCCAAGGTAAGATTAACTAGCTATTTTATGCAACTTTCCGAATAAAAGTCCGACAAATTAGGATGTCAATTTTGATCCAGGTAGGTAAACTAAAGCTAGATTAGCCAAAACTTGGCTTGCAGGATCTGTGTAGTATGCCGTATTTATTTTACTCATAATAAGACTGTTTAAGAGTGTTTAAAAATTGCGTACTATAACAGTCATCCTAAGGATATGTTTCTGAGTAATTTATACTAAAGAAAATGGTTTGAATTTGTCTTGAAGTTTTTGTTTTATCAGTGATTGTTTATTCAGCCAAGATGCTGAATAAGTAATAAAGATAAGCAGCAACTATTTTTTTTTTTTTGCAGTATTTTTAACAAGTGCTTAATAGTAAGTGTTTCAAGAAGCTTTGAAAACAGTGGTTTGAGGCTGATCACATCTTTTTATTGGTGTCATGGTAGTTAGAGATGCATAAGATGATGAACTTCTTCCTGTGTTTATTTTCTAGGGTCAAAATCCAGTTGATGGCAAAGAGGATAAATCAGGTAACGTATTGGGATTTGCCTTTTGTCAGTACTGGTGGTTTTAGTTTCTTTAATGTTTGATGTGTTGTGTAAACTCAAATGTTATCTGACAGGTGCAAAAAAGAAGAGAGGGAGAGAAGATGGTACATACAACATCTCAGAAATTATGTCCAAAGAGGTAAGCCGTAAGTATAAATAGGCTTGTCTGGATTTTTGTAGCACAGATTAACTGGTGAGGCAACTGCATTGTGACATCTGTATTTTTAGAGCAATACATTCTCATACATTGCTATTGGAGATTATCAGCCAACAGGCAGCAGTAGCCTGTCTGTAACATATGACTCTCTTCCAACAAAGATCTATGTAACATGCAGTGTTGTCAAACCTGTAGAATTCAGATACCTTTTTTTAAAGTCTTTAGGGAGGCAAGCTGCGAAAAGACTATGTTGCCAGTTGAATTTTCAGTTACCCTTCGTAACTGGAATGTGTTCTCTGGTGTGTGGCCTTGTTTAGAGTCACTTGTATGATTAATGATGTTGTATGGAAAGCTTTTTAAAGTATGTCCAGTTTCTTCAATTGAAAGATCTCGTGAAATGCAAACTGTAGTAGCCTTTAAGGTTGAAAAGTGCATAAGCATAGCTTCTTTTTTTTCTTTGTTTCCAGGAAATACTATCAGTGGCAAAGAAGAGTAAAGTGGAAAATCAGGTATGTTGGCACGTGTTATTGCAGTTTAAGTGAGTTAAGCCCAAACAGAGGGAGGGCTTTTTATTCTTTATAGCATATTTAAACTTTTCCGGTAAATAAACATCTCTCTGCTAGATATTGAAGTCCTGAATTAGAATTTTTAAAACGTGGTGCAAGTAAATGCACTAAAATACTTTTTTTTCCCCAGAAATCCAAGGTGAAACCTTCTAATTTATTTTTTTTAAATACCAAATTTGCACATATTTATACTTCATAGAACACCTGTAGCTTCAAAAATAAACAAAATAGGAGTTTACTAAAGTATTTGTGCTGCTGTGTAAGACCTTAAGACATAAACATCTTTAAGCGTTCAAGCATAGGGAGGTAACTGGTGTGGTCTCTTCAGCTTCTGCTGTAGTTTAAAAGCTACATGCACAGTATGAATTTCTTTCCAACATTCTCTAGAATCCACTTTCAGGAAGGAAATGGCTATATTAAATGCCAGCCACTGGCACAGCCCAATTGCTTCAGTAGCTATTGCTGCTTTTCAGTTCTAAAGGAGTAAAAAATGTATATAAAGGATTGAAATTCTGCATGTTGACATCCAACTACATAGTAATATTAATCCTAAAAATCAATTCTACTCTTGAGTTAACAGTTAACTCAAAATAAGTCTCTGTGTCAGGGGCTGGCTTATTTCATTGCACATCAAGACAGGTGTAAATTGGGCAGAAGTATGTTTTAACTAGGCTTTGATGTGCTTTCCACTTGTCACGTGCACGTGTTCCTTTAACTTCCCTCTATAGGATGAGAGCTCTTCTGACAACCTGTGTCCAGAAGACCTGCAGAAAAATGGAGACTCAAATAGCGTCATTAAGGATAGATTGTGTCAAGCTGTACGACACAGTGCCAAGCAATTCCTTGATCCAGTACGGAAATTTAATGGACAACCAGTGCCTTTTCAGCAGCCGAAGATTTTTACTGGTGGTGTAATGCGGTGGTACCAAGTGGAAGGCATGGAGTGGCTAAGGGTATGGAGCAATTGTTGATGAAACTGAAATCTGTTGATGATTAGAAACAGAAGTGGAGGGGAAGAGACACTAGAAAACTATGATCATAGTTGGGACAGGGAAGGTGAAAAGGGAGATAAAATTCTTTTATCATTTCTCATGATACAAGAATGGTGTTATGAAAAAGTTGTCAAGAAGCAGATATAATGTTTCAGCATGGGCAGGATATCTGTGTTTGTAAACGCTTTAAACTTTCTGGTTGGTGGTCTCCATCTTCCCTTTCTCCATCTATTTTCTTGTTCAACTTTCTTTTCAGCCTCTCCTTACAAATATTTTGTGAAAGCAGAAGGACCATGCATACTGTTAAGGGACAGACAGCCTTACTGTTCCTCTCTCAAGCGTTTGAATACCTAGCCCATAGGTGTTTTTAGAGACCCGCTGTCTTGTAGGCCTGACACAGATAAGTTTTCCATTCTCTGCATCTTGAGTCTAACTAGTAATATTAACACAGTATTTTTAAAATATTTTGTCTTTATCTTTTGAAATAAAAAAACTAAAACTTGCCATAAAAATTTCCCCTGTGCATATTTAACTTCTACCTGGTTTTGCTTGCAAGCCAAATTAGGACACGTTTGCTTTTTAATTATCAGAGCCAGACAGAACTAATTTTTATTCTGCTACTGATCTCATATTACCCCTAGGTTTTTTCTGTCTTTTTTTTCTTCCCTGCCCTCCCCCGCCCCCCTCCCCCCAAGCATATGCATCTTGTTTTAACAGGCTTAGGCTGGTCTCACAAGTAAGTACCACTAAACTCACTTTATTCTGTCACTGAGAAGTGTTTAGGGAAGACAGGCCTGGTCTGAGGGGCGGGGGGGAAACAGCTCGGTTATAATAACCTTGTTTATGAATAGTAGCCAAAGATGTACAATACGTTAGCCACAGAACACTTCTGTGCCTGTCCTTTTGAGAGAGGTTGCTCTGCCACTTGTCAGAATAGGCAGTGTCTGCACAAAGAACTTTTGCTGGAGCAGGTAGCTGTGTTGGTTAGGAATCGCACCTTTTTCCTATGGTGAAGTAGCTGTGCCTATACAAGCTATTTGAACAAATAAAACTGAAACAGCACAGTAACTTGGTCTTTTAGAGGGGGGAGCTAAGGGAATTCTTTGGAGCTGGGATGCATAAAAATTTGGGTAGTGTGAGCTGTACTTGCAGTTGAAGTGCTTTTTGATTATAACACTAATTAACATCCTTTCCTTTGATACTGTTCTGGTTTTTGCCTTCTAGTCAGACACTTAATTGGCTAGAAGAACATGCACCTACATTTTAATGTCTGGGGTTTACAAGGTGCTTGTGTTTTCATCATGGAGAAATCTTGCTTGTCTGTAATATAAAATGTTCCTAGTAGAGAGTTTTTACAGGTGTTATGTTCCTAAAGATGTCTATTGTTCTTAAGGTGGGCTGGCTAGTTTGCATTGACATTTCTTTTCCTGTGTACGCAGATGCTTTGGGAAAATGGTATTAATGGCATTTTGGCTGATGAAATGGGGCTGGGAAAGACGATCCAGTGTATTGCAACAATAGCACTGATGGTGGAGCGAGGAGTCCCTGGTCCATTCTTAGTATGTGGTCCTTTGTCTACTCTTCCAAATTGGATGTCTGAATTCAAGAGATTTACTCCAGAGGTAAAAGAAATTATTTTTCTTTTTCTTCCTTAGGTTTAAAAGAGCAGATTATTTAATTCTTACTCTAATTCTTTGCCTTGAAACTTTCTCTACATAGAACATCAGTCTAACTGTAATTGTTTATGTGGTTACTACACGCTGTACCATGACTTGTTATGTATTTACAGCCTTCTTGTAACAAAGCTAATTATCTCTACTATCTTTAGGTTTAAATGAGCTGACTCACCTGAGTCACCTAAATTCACCTGACTTCTAAACCTCATTTTTTCAGATTCCACTAATGCTGTATCACAGAGCTCAGCAGG